ATTAAAACTTGCTTATTTAGGTACAACTGCATAGTTTCAATGCTCGTTGCCCATGCCTTAATAAAGTATTTTGACAAAGGTCACAGAAACAGCAGACTAAACATCTATGCTTGAAGTGTGTCTTTAACAAACTCTTAACTTTTGTTCCAAACTAACGTAATTGTAGCCATTTAAGGTATTTTGCCATTGAACTATGCTATTACAAAATCACAGCACCTAAATAGGTCCACAAAAACGATGCCATAATGAAAGGTGTTGTCACAGGCTCTGATAATTTGTTAGGCCCAATTACTCTAAGCAGATGCCCACGAAGACCTGGGGTGGCTTACAAAGCCGTTTAGTAAATGTCGCTTCCAAGTTGTGCTGTTGTCGTGCTTTCTTTAAGTAATGTGAGACTAATAGAGTTGTTGACGATCAAACACGATTCGGGCAAGCCGGTAGAGAGGCTACATGGGTGAGGTGGGCAGCGAGTGAGGTGGACGTGCAGGCGTAGGTGAAGAGACGATCCCGCATGATTGACAGGCACGCCAGGTGAAGTGGGACTGTGTCGACGAATGCGGTTTCAGAGTTGATGGACGTTAAGCAGCACGATTCACTACATTGTATCCTAATTGTATTTTTTTGCTTGAGGTTTACCTCGATTTGAGATGCCATGCCAGGTGTTACATACAATATATTTTGCATCGCCGTTATTATTTATTCAAACTTTGGCGTTTGCAGAATACACCAAACAGGGTACCTCATTGTCTATGCTGAAACAGACCCCATTTCATTTGGGTAGTGATAATTTTAAAAACCAGCAATCCATCGAGTTCTACAACCAGAAGCTATCCACAGCTAGCAAAGGAATTTTAACCAAAGACTTAAATTATTCCAGTCTGTTTGAAAAGCTGTACTTTGCTAGCGTGTTGCCACACAAGTTTACGTTAGTCAGCCCGATGGGTAGCTTCAAGCACAGCGCCTGTTACGATAAAAAAATTATATTTAATCAATATTTTGCCTGCACGTGCCTGCACGGTGCACCAATTTTTAAAAACCTAATTTTAGGTTTACGTGCTTTGCCATATTCTGCGTCGAATGTACTGGGTACAAGAAAAATGCTAAAATTTACAACTCATATTGCCTGTCGCAAATATTCCCACAATCTCTCTGGGATATTTTTTACGGCCGCGATGCGTTTGCTTCATCCCTAAGCCGCACTAGTTACCGAGTTAGTAACAGCCTTTTGTCATTCAACTAGTTCGGTTCTAAGCAAAATAGCATGTGTTAATTTTGAAATAAAACAAAATGCCTAATTCGAAGACATTGTTTTCAATTTTAACATATTCTCTTAATCACCTTAAGCAAAAGTACACAAATTGCAAACAAAATGTTGCCAGTTTTGAGCTAATTATTTTCAACTTGTTACCGAGATTTATGGCCATTTTAAGTTTAATATAGTCAAGGAATGCCAATTTGTTGACCGCAACTCTGTTTGGTCAAAATTATTACTCAAATCTCAAAATATAAATGCAATTTCCAATCTTCCGCTAAAATAAAAAGAACCATTTTTATATTCATGAAACGTTACTGTCAAAAAACATTGAACTACTTATAATATCACCTAGTTCTTTTTTTACTAACTTTTAAGCTTTAATTAAAAACGCGAGTTTGTTTATGTGCCTTGAAACATTCAAATAAGAAATGTACCCATTTGAAGCATCGCCCACAAAATGTTCAGTCAGAAGTTACGCGAGTGTTCTTTCATTATGTTTGTTTTCCGTTTGTAGTTTACTGGAGCAACCTGAGGTAGTACTTCATCAATCATGAATCCAAATGCAAGAAAGACAAAACGCTTGACATTTAAGAGGCTAGAAGTAAGTTGAATGATTTCGCTGATGGGGAAAGATTCTGCTCTAAAGTATGCATTTAGCATTTAAGTTGTTAAAGTTTTCCCTTTAGCTGCAAGAGCGTCATCAGAACAAATGTGACTTCCATTGCGGTTTCCAGAAGTACCAATATCGATTTATTTTGGAATCCAATGTGCCTACCCTCTTATTAATTTAATTAGGTTCAAAAAATTATTTGAACCATTAGCTATAAGCAGTCTGCGTTTGGGAATTTCAGCGTCTTTTGGGTCGTTGAAATCACAAGATGATTTTGCCAAAAACACGTTTCATGACGTCTAGGATTACTTATTTTAGACTACACTAATTGTCAAACGACGGCTAATAGTGTATGACACTTAAAAGGCTAGTTATGCTTTCTTAAGATTTGCATCGGATTGTCAATATTTTAGGCTTCCTCTGGCCACCTTAGACACAATGATTATAACTGATGCGTTGTCTTTACACCGAACTGCAGCAAATAGTTTATCTACTCTCACATTTCTTAAAGAAACATTTAAAAGCAACTAGGAAACCAAGTTGTTTGTTAAAATTGGCATTTTTTTAAAGATATAGTGGTAAAAAACCAAATTGTCTCTGATCATCCTGAATAAACACTTTTTCAGAATTCAGACCTTCACTTCAACTAAAATAACTCTCATTTCTAAGCCAATGCGCATCTAAAATGTGCGCAAATAACGGAGGTTTATTTAGCATGGATGATAACTTGGAGGTGATTTAAAATTCTGAATTGTTTGTTTAAATAAGAGTATCACTTGTCATTGCTAATGGTTTTTTGTTACTCAATACAGTAGAATTTTTGTAGGCCTAATGAATGTAAATTTTCAATCAAAAGAATGATATCCGGTTATTTATATGAATTCGTTGGTTAGCTAATCGAAAGCAAAGCTCTAGAGCAACAGTGAAAGCCAAAATTAGTGATAAGATTTAGCAACATGTTTGAAAACATCATTGAATTGGTATAAAGTCGTTCTAAAGTCTAGCAACACTTATCTGTCACGCGATGAATTGCAATGGCTGTGATCAAAAACGCATGTGAAAAATAGCTTTGTTAATTGGGTAATGGCTTGAAGAACTCACTAAAACGTCCATTAGTTTAAAACCTGTGTGCAACGCGGATGACGGCAGTTAGGGGTGCTGACAGAGGCTCTTAGGCAGGGGCCTGTGGAATAACACCCTCCGGCACACTCGTCATTGTCGCCCACAAATAACGTGCAATGCGAATTTACTTCATTTAACAAATTGGAAAGTGCATCGTTAAAAATATAAAGAAAAACAGTGTAAAGTAACAAAACCGTGAGGTAAAATATGTTTAGAATCTCCTTATCTTACCCTAAATTTCAAAACTGTAGGATTATCAGGTGCATGCAAAGTGTCCGATTACTCATCTTTTCTGGCGTGCTTCATTTATTTGTGTAAAAAATTTAATGTGTGCCAAAAATCATAATGTGATTATCAGAAAAGCAAGTATAAGCAAGCTTTCCGAAATTTCCACAAATGAAAAAAAGGCTGAAGGAAGTGTAATTACACGTGTTGATGGTAAGATTACGTTTTATTGCTCTTTCCTTAATGTAACCTTTCAGAACACATAAGTGTTACTTGATTTTCTATGTCGACACTTCTAGTAAACAAAATTACGACGGCGTCTACAAATACCTTGGTCAAACAACTGAGTGAAGATGTGTAAAACGATATTTTGTGCCTACAGAAAACAGATTCACTTTCTATTATACTCGTAGAATACACATAGGCACCTAATAAGGCTTCAATGAATTAAACACATCAAACATGCGACCACAGGAAGGCCTTAGAATTAAGTCGCGAGTTTAGGTATATCATTAAAAAAAATCGGAGTGTTAAAATTTTTAGTAAAAGAATAAAATCCACTCTTTTTAAATTTCAGAAAGTCAGAGTTGTTTTGCAATCAGTTACGATGTTTCGTGATTTATGATTAAGTCTATCCACAAAATCCGGACAAAATTCTCAATTTTCTTGAAAAAGAACATTTGAAAGATAAATATACAAAATCAATTAAATAAGGCCAGTAAGCTACTAATAACTAATGATAGCCATATTGTTGACATGGAATTTGAACGGCGTGGTCCTTTAGTGTAAACGTAAGCGCAAAAGCATCCAAAATGTGCACACAACAAAAGGGTAGTAGGAAGTAGAGAGGCGGTGTTCGTTATTTAGCCACACAGAACAAATTACGTTATTTATTACTCAAAAAACCACATGTTGGAGAGCAGGACTAGCTGTCTACGCCAAATTCCACAGAAAGCACTTTTAAAACCGAGGTGTATACAGTTGAGTAAAGTTAATAGGAACAAGACAATAAGACTTATTAAACAACGCCCCTTTCATCAGATCTTGCAACAAAATAGCAGTCCATCTGACCGATACGGCGTGCGACCCAGAGGAATAGAATCAGCACAAGTGCTGTTAGCGTATAACTAATGCTTAGTCATTTTAAGCCAGTGTAAATATAGCGACACAAACCAAAGACGGTGCAAAATACCTAAGATCAGTGAGCCTCTAGTCAAACTAATAATGATCATTTCAATTCATGCATTATATGGCCCCTACAAAGCAAACATGTCACTACCAGACGCTGCAGGGCGTGTCAAGTTGTATTAATCACTGCATTACTTACAGGGTGCATAAATATTTTGTACTGAATGAGCCATGCAGAGAGAGTAACCTTGCGCTAAGTAGTCAACTCGAAAGTGAAGTAGTTAGCTTATTTTGTAATTTAATAAATTGTGACGGAAAATGTACGCACACCTCTTGCAGACTTAGATTCTTTAAGTATAATAGGTCGTTTGATGGAATCAGTATTGAGGTGTAACCACTAATAATCACGCTTTTTCCACAAAATGATTTCTATTGGAGTTTACCCACTTTGAAGTCAATTAAAAGCTTCCTTTCCTTATAAATGCATAGCTCGAAAAGATTAACCCGCTAATGCATCTCCGGTTAGGTGATTTTGTTTGATTTTGAAAGCTTTTGTCAAATGAGCGAGCAAGAATATAAACAGAAAGTCATTTTCAGTTAAAATTTTACTGGGCTTATTAGTTAATGAAATGAAAATAATCACTGCAAAGAGGAACGTCTTTAATTTTCATCTTCAATTGACTTTAATTCGAGTCGTTCGGAACCTTTGCCCATTCGATTGGCTGGTTCATTTGAACTAGTTCGATTTTTGGTCTGCTCATCTGGACACCGCTGTAATTGATTACGTCCCAGGTACAAGCGCATAGGATCACAGGGGTTTGTGAGAAAAGGCCGCTGTTGGTGGCGCCTGCACTCAACGGGATGGCAGACGCGCACAATGTAAGCATCATTTTTACGCGACCTTTTACAATCACAGCAGCACACGGAACACATGTAGGCGCACGAATGGTAAAATCCCCTTCGCCTTCTTAACCGCTCTTTTATTCTTCTGAGTGTTCGCCTCGTTGTTTGCCTAAATGTTCGGGAAACAACAAAGTAGAGGAAAAAGTTCACTGCACACCCGAATACCTGTAAGAAATTAGTCCACTCAAGCAGTCTGTTTAGCGTGAGGTATTGTTTTACAAGCTGCCGATTTTCATTAATCTGATCTGCGATTTTATCGATCAGCTTGAGGCAAACGAATTGAACAATCCCAAATGGAGTGGACAAAAGCAGAAATGCAAAAATTACGGCAAGCAGGAGAGGTGTTACCCTGTGAAAAGCCCTGGGTCTCAGGCTGTGACGATGGGGAACTTTTCGTTTCCGCGTAATCACCAAGGAAGGTACGGTATTTGAAGGTTGCTGCGATTGGGATGATTCCAAAGGCTGTTTGTGTGGAGTGCTTACAGATGTACTGATGGGCCGTCCAGCTAATTTCAACTCCTCTCTTCCAAAGTTTTCCCGAATGTTTTCACTTCTTTTGCAGGCCACGATGACCGAAATGTTGGTCACCAATACCACGATAAATGGCCCAACATTTGTACAGATAATATGCACAATATTGTAGATATCCTTTAGCACTTCAGAATATGGGTACATCCGGTCAACGATTAGCACAATCTTCGCACCATCACTGGCCAAAGCTTCTTCACCAAACGGCGCTATCTCTTCATAATTGTACCGGAGAAAAAGAGGCAGGTTGAAAATGAAGGCGACTAAGTAGATGGATAGGATGACGTGAAAAACACTTTTGCATCGCAGGTAGAAACGTGACTTCAGTGGCCAGAAAACGGCAAGATATCGCAGTATTGAGACTAGAACCACCATCCAGGCGCTGACAGTGAGAAACACGGAGACTAAGCCCGGTCCGAATAATGTGTAATAGAGCATAAAGTCATTTCTTTTGTATGTCCGTTTTGAGTAAATTAATGGGAGTGTTGAGAGGCAGATGCAGAAGTCTGCAATTGCCAGGCCAAGGAGGTTGACTCGGGCCGAACGTTCTCCACCTCCTACTGGATGAGAGCCTCGAAGTTGGGATAGGACTATGACTATCATGGAATTAGTGATTAGTCCCAAGCAGGATACTCCCATCAAAAGAATTTTAAGGACATTTTCAGACGCATCTGGAGAAATATTAATTGATTCTGGCCTGCTCGTTGTATTGTTAAAGCTGTCCACCTCCAGGGCTGAGGTAGCAAGCATATCATCCTACAAATGGAAAATGCCTGCTGAGTCACTAAACCTGCTGCTAACAAAGTTGATATAGTCGAGTCTTGGTCAAAAAAAACAACTTAGTTTAGGGGGCATCAAAAATTTACTGTAACATGTGCTTTAATAACCACCTATCCCGAGGTACATTTGATTGGCTGCTGCATTTAATTTTAAATCGCTGCCAAATGCGCTGAACATGCGTAGAGGTAATAGTTACTGGCAAAAGAATCATTAGCATTAAAATATATTTTAATTTCAAAAATCAATTTTGTAGTAGAAGAAACTGGGGGAGAATAATGGTTATGGCTTATGCCCCATAGAAGTGGATTTGCTAGTTTTTAAGCCAGCACAGCATTGGTTTCAGATGTATCGATGTTAATAATAAATAAAACCACTATTGATTTAAATAGCATTATTGCATACCTATGATAAAAATGTAGCAATAATGTAGAATATGTAGAACAGGGATGCAAGGTCTTCTAAATGTGCAGGCTTCAAGGGTTTGTGTGAAGGCTATTTGGGTGTTCGAAAGCACCGTGTCAAAAGCAAGCTATTCCTCCGATTGGAGAAATTAAATCTGCAGCCATTTCAAGAAAACTGTGAGCTACGAAAAACAATTTATGCACTTGGAGCTTGACTTGCAACAAGCCGAAACAACTGAGCAATAAGTGATGTTATGTAAATCCAGGTTTTTGTAAAAAAAACCACAGCGTTTTTGAATTTTCGTATAGAGTATCTTAACCTAAGTGTTCTGTTCTGTTCAAAATATTCGAACGTGGAAAGGAATTTGGTTTACTTGTCACACAAAGATGGCTAATTGGTTCCTTGCTATGCTCGTATTTAATGGCTTTACCGTGCTAACTTATTCAGCTTCCCAATAGCAAACCATGATTTTCTAAATCTCAGTTTGCTTGAGGGCCCACAAGGCAGCAAACAGTTTAGGGAAAAGTTTTTGCATGTTTTCGTCCCTCGGTTCTACCCTTGGGAGTAGTGTACTTTTTCTATTGGTAGAGCTGGCTTTGATCAATCAACATGAAAGGTTGTTTTAAAAGTGTAGTTAAAATTGAATTAGAATTAAGCCTATCATTTATCTGACCCATAATAGTCGTCACTCTTGACGTGTGTTTAGTTACTTTAATTAAGTTTTTGTTTAAAATGTAGTGCTGTGTTTTTCCTAAATATTTGCATAATTATAACATAGGTAATGGATTTCGGTCCACGCCAATATATTGCTACAGGGCTAAACTTTCACAATTTTTACTGCAATCGATTGTTTTGAGGTATTTGTTTTTCAAGATGACGATGTTTTACCAGTATTTCTTTGCAGTGGCTACGCAAATTGTTTTTTTAAATTTTAAGGACTCTCAGTAAGGGCGCGTCGGAGTGTTGCAAAATTTTAAATGATGCAAATGAACAGGGTTAACATAAATCGCGCTGGTTTTATGATATAGTTTTAGGCACTAATGGCTGCATCAATAAAACAAGTTCCGCTACAATTAGTTTTAAGACTTACCCGATTTTTATCTTATTGAAATAATTTAAATGACACCTTCCAAACCATTTTTAAATTTTGGCTTTTTCAATCGCAAGGGTATGCAATGTCACAAATCACCACAAACGTTAATGTGGCTAGAAGGGTTGTTAATTTTATTTACGCAAACACATGGCCTTGTTGAAGCTTCACTGTTTGATAATAATGTTGGGGATCCACGATTCCCCAAGATTTTTCGTTGTTGGTTTCTGGCACAATTTTCACTAATTCACTGACATATGTTTTATTACGCTTTTTATCATGTCAAGGTCAAGCTTGACTCGATTCAGTTTCACTTTCGACTCGACGTGAATAAAGCTCTCTACACAAGCTCTGGTCGTATTCGTGCATTAGCTTGGGATGTTTAATGCTAGCGTCAGCAAGGGATCTGGTACCGTTATTTGAGTGGTTTTCTCTTTGTTACGGGCAAACGTAACAAATAAATGTGGTTTAAGTAGTTCAGTAGCGACAATCAGATTCATTTTGGCTCAGTGTAAATGATGCTTCGTGAGATGCTACATCAGCATCCATTAGTTTTTAAAGTCCTGGTTAATGCCAAAGAGCATCATGATTTCGCCCGCAGGAAAGAGTTTCAAAATGTTACGACAATGTTAAAACGCCCACAATGTTAGTAACGCAGCAATGCCCTTTAAAATCTTGACAATTTGTTTCTCTCCAGATGACTGACATTTCTTGGTAGCCTCGGATAATACTCTAAATTCCTAATGGACCTAAAATTTAACAAATGCGTAGCGAATTCATTCTGGCATCTTTTTTACATACTAAATTAATGGGTTTAAAATAAGGGGAAATTTTAGTTAACTGACGGACGTTAGTAATTATCAGCTGTAATGGTTTACGTGTATTCAAGTTCGCGCGATTATAAGCGAGTGTTTCTTAACTATCAGTTTGTAGTAGTGACTCAGTCCTATAGATTTAGGCTTATGGTATTCATCGACAGATGAAAACTGTTGACGGGTAAAAATGGGTAAATACCTGAGGTATTTGCGACACAATTAATAGGATTTGTGCAAAACCGGGTGTATTTCTACTGAATGTACTGTCTTTAGATTGATGACATTCAAAATAAAGACTCTGTGTAACCGAGAAAACGGAACTTAAGATCCGATTATTTCATATCGTGCATACATAAGAGCAAACAGTGAAGCAGGTTGAAGGTTCTAACCACGTACGTCAATTGTGAATTTTGATTCACTCAGAAAATGAAGCTTGAAATCCATCTGAGGATAAAATTAGGGTGCGTGACACTCAAATTAAACAAGACCGACACAATTAAGATCAGGAACATGCCAGTTGAAATCGAGTTTTGCTGCTATTAAATATGACAAATTGTTTAACTAAAAGGCCAGGCATGTAGAGTACGTTTTACTTATACTACCTATGTTGTAATTAAATTACGTCTATGTGATAGTCGGTTACAGAGGGAAACAATTAAAGGCAACTAAATACGTAGAGACGTAGGGGTAGTATTATAGATAAATTAATAATCGTTTCGCTTTATTCTATAGGACAGCAGCTTTAATTTGCATAGAATCAAACTAAACCCAATTTCTCCAGGGCCCGTCGATTCTAAAGCTTTGATTATCAAGAAAAAGAGGGTTGCTGGTTTTAGACGTTTCGCAAAGCTTTGCATGAATGTTTTTTTCTTTTGAAGCAGAATTTGTTTCGCCGGCGGTTGTCTTAAGGATAAAAGACAAATCTTGAATAGGCATAGTTCTAGGGGTTTCTGAATCTGGGTGTAGCGATTTACGGAGCCACTTTCTGTCCTAAAGCAAGCCGTTTTACATTTGCATGGTTCTTAGAATTCCGTTTCTAGTTATTCTGACATGCTCAATTTCAAATTTTGCGTGAGCTTCCTTAGTTGGTGTGCATTTTATTAATGCGAATGTAGGCTCCACAGGTCAACAGGGATTCAATGTTATTCCACAAGAATGTGCAAGTATTTGGGTTAACAGAGTTTCAATTGAGGCTCCGCAGTCATGTAGCTTCTTTCGAATGTGACGTTAGCTATTACTAACCCAATCTGCTAAAGCAAAGGATAACTAACTGCGCATGCTGAAGGCAGGCAATGTCAAGTGTAGATAAACACGACAGCATGAAGCTATCATTTTATGTAATTTGTATAACATTGCTAAATCTATTTTAAGGCGTGATTCAGACCACATTTATTAACTCTAATCTGGTACATTTTACGATGTTTAATTTTAGAGATATTCCATAAGTAACTGCTACAGGCCATCAATGAACACTAAACAAGTGGCTAATATTTATTTAAATCACACATTTGTGAGTTGCCAGGTGGTAAATTATAGCCCGAAATATTCCATTAACAAACTTAAATGGACAACTCGTGACGTTGCTTATCTAGCGGTTCTCAAACCAGAAAAAGTTGATTAAATTTTACTGTTGTTGAGTAAAACCATATTTAAATCCAATAAATGGGTTCCAATAGTTTTGGGAACTTGATTTTAAGCACCGAAATGCGATCAAGCTGGTGAATTTATTAATAAGCACTACAGTAGGCTGTCTTCAGTGTAGACAGTGGATACCCAATTTGCTCTATGTTGATTTGAAGTTTTTGAGGTTTCATGTGTACGTGATTATTCCTTGCATGACTGTTTTTAAAAATGTAATCTAAATCGCAGAGCTGTCAAAATGTGGAGTACAGATGGTGGACAGGAAAAACAGAGGTTATCTAGAAGATAACTCAAATGAAAAGCAAAAAATCTACCACACGTTACATAATAATTAAAGTTTACAATGGAATTCACCACTTTTTCACTGTCTTTCCAAAAAACGCATAATGCCAAAATATCTGTATTTAGAAATAATTTCATAAAGGCGTTTAGGAAAGAATCAAATCCTTGGGCCTCTTCATAGTTAAAAGGCAACCTACTTATTAATATAACACTTCAAACTTTCACAAATTTCTCTGAACATAATATCTATTGCTGCTTGAAACCAATAAGTTTGCGACGTAAATTAATTGTGTTTTTTTAAAAAATGGCTTCAGCTAATTAACCAGAGCCGAGCTCGATTTGTCGTTACACATTGTAACAAAATTAAACATTGAATTTCAACTCTTAAAAAAAGAGTGCACAGTGCACAATTTCTGATTATTTATTTTGTTAATCCACAGGCCTGAAAAAGCTGTCCCCAAGACAGCATAAACAGCTTACATTTGTTTGAAACAACTAGTTTTAAAGTATGGAAATGCGCGTGTCTAGACGGTATGATAGGTTGCCTACATTTGTAACATTCAGAAAAAAAAGGAACTGAACTTACTGAATACATTTTCACTGCGACTCATAATATGCACACTTAACCTGGATTAAGTCCTAAAATAACCGAAGACCAAATTTCTGCGTTGATTTAAACAAAGACGCGAAATGGTTGATTAATTTGGATGTTTATTCCAGTTGGCTGAAAACTAAAACCG